TACCCGGTTGTGGCGGCACAGCTTGGCGCAATGATCATGTTAAAAGGCAGATGATTTGATTCTGTATAGCAAACGCCCTTTAATTCTACCGCTTTACCACGCGAATCTGACGGCTCAGCTTATCACACGGTTTTGGGTGGTTTGAACTTATCATGCACACTTGCGCACCTACTTATACATCTGTGGTCAATATTAATCCCGGGAACGTCCGCACAACGTTTTCTCACGTCTAAGATGACCACTCGAAGAGCTGGCACGGTATTCATTTAAGAGATATTGACGCGAACCTTCGAAATTTAGAACAAAATACCTGCCATGCTACATCACCTTGTAACCTTCGCCGATTTTTGGACACACTGTAGTCATTGCTTGCACCTTGACCGTCTAAGCTTCTTTGCATTTTCGGCATGACTCGTGCAATGTTTCGCTCCTGAATAATATATCATAGTTCGGGCGTCTTGACAATGCATCGGCTAATGTGTCCGTCATGCCTGGCTTGTAGTGTACAACAAAGCTAACTCCGCAAGGAAGAAAAAACATCGAGCCATTCTTTGCGATAAATGAGGAGGCCTTACTGCCATACGCAGTGGAAAATGTGTGTGACGAGGAAGCGATTCTCGACGACGTGGAAGGAGAAGGATAGTACCGATTGAAGAGAGAAAGGACGACTCGATCCCTTTAAAGCATATTTGCAGCTGAATAAAAAATTGTATACCCTAGCTGCGTGCAAAACATCTTAGAGGTTATACTGATCCAACAATGGGTGTCTGATTTATAAAGCAAGGATGTACTGAGGTTGAACCTCGTATTCAACTGATACAAGAACTTGGGTGTACGGAGCTTGGACTTCAAAAGCTTGGACTTCAACTTTTGTGGAAAGTATCTAGTAGAATGGACTGGCTTACGCCACCCACGTTGAAAGACAGAGACACATCGGTTTCGTCACCGAGACAGATCTTCAGGTAGGAACCAGCATTTTATATCAAACAGAATATTTGTGACTTCATATAAGAAATCACGTATGCATCTGGAAACACCACACTGTAATTTTTTTATTAACTTTCACAATGCATCCGGAAGGTACACAAATTCACCTTCATGTAATGGCTAGCCTGTTTCAATTTGTTCACAGTGGTACAAACGGAGACAGATGGACAGACAGAACGTGCCAGTCGAGTGGTCAGTGATGTCTTGCAAAGTTTCTGTGT